TAAACACTGTAAGCAGGGGGAAACTGTTTTATCAAAAGAGAATATCCACCTTCAATCAGACCACAAATGAGACAAGATTTAGGTTTGAAAGATGAGAGACATCACCGGAGTGTTTCACTGATTACTAAACAAAAGCTTCTATCTGGGTTCAGTGATTTCTGTGAAACTGGATCAGATTTTATGGAGCAAATATTTGCTAGTTTTCCCTCTGACGTCCTCCGGCTGCTCAGCTTCAACTCTCTGTGATGGAGTTTCCTTGCTGTTAGCTGGTTAGCAGTGCAACTACCTTCCTATTCTGTCCTATTAGGTGATTTGGTCAGACTGGGAGCTCAGAGCATTGAGGCAGTGTCGGTATTTACATTTACATTACATCTCTAGTTCAGAAGCTTTTGAGCGCCGCTGCTAATAGCTACAAGAAAATGTCCATCAGTAAACTCTGTAAAAAACATTTTCTGCAGACAGAAACCTGAAGGGTTAGTCCTGAATCCTGAGCAGAGTGGTCCAGAACTGAGACCGACTGAACGGATCCTTCTACTTGGTGGCATTTAAAGAAATATGTGATGAACCGACGTTGAATAAAGTAGAAAAGGAGGTCGGAAATATTCAGAGCAGTCTGAATTCTGAGCTTTTTGGCTCTCAGGGATTAATTTTACATACATTTACCTCATTATCTGACCTCGTTTAACACTGTGACATTATATATAGGACAAACTAAAATCAGAATACTCCCCTTTAATATTATGGAATCATATAATATTTGCGAGAGTAAAAATTATGTATTATGATGAGTGATGCACATCTGTCAGTACAGTGACGCAGTGAGAGCTTTATAGTGGACAGACTGTCAGCCAGCTGGACAGGAGGATAATGCTCCACACACACACACACACAGCCTCGCTCTCAGTCAGCTCTGAGCTCTAACTCCTGATGGACGGCTCGTCTTCTCTCCTCCGCAAAGCTCGAAAAGCTCAGCTCTCCAAAACTCTGAGGTTCAGGTAGGACTGTGTGTGAGTGTATGGTATGAATCCGGTTCGACAGGTTCTGGTTTCGTCCTTTATTGACGTCCGTCTGGCGGCTCCACTGTGATGGAACAGTTGTTTCTGGGTTTGAGTTTCTCTGAGTTCTGGTCCGAACTGCAGAGTCATCACGGTGACGGAGAAGCTACAAACGAAGGAGACGTTTCAGACCGGAGTGTGTTTGTGAACCTTCCAGATGTTGCTGCAGGGATTTGCTCACATTCAGACACTGATGTTGGATCTGGTCTGGCTCCTGTTGGATTCGGGAGGGGGGGGGTTGAGGTTTTGTGTGGACCAATCAGGTTCTTCCACAGCGAACTGCGGGAATCTTTCTCTAATGGAGCTGCTTTGTGTACGGCGGCATCGTGCTGATGAAACAGGAAACAGTCAGACACCAGCTGTTGTGTTTGGTCTGCAGTCACTCTCAGACAGTGGTAGTTACTGTGCAGCAAAAAGATGTTGTTGTTGTTGTTGTTGTTGTTGTTGTTGTTTGTGGTCGGTCCAAAGAGGAAACAGATCTGGAAGTAGTGCACCAGGGATCGGTTGCACCAACTGGTCTTTACTAATCCTGGTCCTAACTGTTATCAGCTGCTCTGCTTTTACTGATTACTTTTAAGCCTCTACATGGAGATCCTCGGGCGGAGGTCTGTTGTCTGTTCCAGAGGTCCGGCTCAAGCGTTTGGGGCCTTGAAGCTCTGGATCAATCTGCCGGGTCGGTCTCCGGGTGTGCTCCGCGTTGAATTCACGGCTGGTCTGTTCCGAGCAGATTGCACTGACAGGAAGTCAGACACAGAAACAGCATAGAGAATCCTCTCTTCAAAATAAAATACAGCGTGCAAACTCCAAGACCTTCTGAGGCGAAGAAAGACATTTCTTTGACTGGCGGGGTCCTCCACTGAAATCATCAATATACAGCGATTTATGAACAGATTTTGACTTTAGGCCCGGTCCAAGTGAGAAGAAGGTTTCAGTCTGGACTGTTAGTTCTGTTCTTAGTTACGACCGACTTATCTTTAGACCAACGGACTTTGATTTAATTACAGATCCTCTTCAGACTAATCGGCTTTAAATAACACTTTGTGTGTTAGATGATTTTTCACAAAAGCGTTCAATAAAGAAGTCCTCCTCCTCCTCCTCCTAGAAGGTGTTAAACTGAGTTCATCATTATATACAGCCTCATTCAGGGTTCCTGCGCGACCTGGAAAACCTTGAAACTGATTAAAACGACCAAATATCCTGGAAATAATCGTGTGTGTGTGGTCAGAGCTCAGTAATTGCTTCCTCCTCCTCCTCTTCCTCTGACAGCAGTGGATCAGGTTTCCGTCCTAATGCAGGAGACCAGCCCTTCCTCAAACTCTGCGTCTGGTTTCAGACTTTTGTAAGAATATTCTAATAAACACACACACACACACACACACACACACACACACAGTGATTTAAGATCTCCTGAAGATAAACTCAGGATTCGGTTGAAGGCTTCGGACTGTGTTCGGTCGATGGAGCGTTGCAGCTTCAGGTCACCTGATCACACAGGTTTGAACGAATCCACCTTTTACAGAAACGAATGTCTCTCCTCTCAGAGACTGAAACATTATTATTCAACTATGTTTATTGATTTTCACATATGTTGTACAATAATAACAATAATTCTCCGGACTAACCGAACAATGAATTCTTGCTGGGCAGTTCAGCCTCTGCCGGTAGGTTGTTACTGTCAGTGGGTTAGGATCAATAACTCCATTACACATATAGTGAACAGTATATATAACCAGAGACTGAGGCTAGCTGTGTCTGGACTGCACCACCAGGTTGGGTCTGGACCAGGATATAAATCGACCTCAGAGACTGAAACGAGACGAGGACACACATCTACAGTTTATATAAGACGTCACAGGACTGTTGGGAACACTGATTTTATATTTAACAATGTTTAGTATTTTATAAACCTTTCATATATTATGTAAAATCTCAAACTGTAAAGAAACTTATGTAATTCTAAAATATCACATTCATTGATCTGTAAGAGAATATGATATTATATGAATATGTGAACAGAGCCTCTGTTATACACTAAAAACATTTTATTCTAACTGTTCTTTTAATGAGTGAAAACACAGATTGTCTCTTGTTGCTGTCGTCGATAAATA